CGCTCAGTCTCCTTGCATTTATCTTTGTCCCCTGCACAGTCCATTGAAGTCTTCGTTCCCTCCCTCCCTCCCTCCCTCCCTCCTTCCACTATTTTCCTCCTGTCTCTCTGCCTGGTCACATATAGCCTAGGCTGGCCTTGAATCCTCTATGTAGGTGTGGAAGACCTGGACGACCGTGGACTCCTAATCCCCCTGCCTTTGTCTCCCAAGTAGTGGGTATTTAATGCCCTATGGAGACTTAGTTTATGAAAGCTCCTGAGGTACATCAAGCTTAAAGTAACTATTTCTCTAATTAATCTATCTTTTGATGTAGAGTTCTTAGTCATGAAATTCACAGTGGTGAAGAAAAGTAAATATTTTCCCCAAAATCTAAGCTGAATCCCAATGGATGAGAACAAGTTGTTCAAATAAGTGCATTGGTGAGAGGTATCAGAGGCTCAGGTAGATGACACACAGGTGCAAAGGGTCAAAGGGAGAGAGGGAAGGTATAATTAGATCAGGCAGAGCATAAACTGAGAAGAAAGGGGAAGTTAAGGGGTGTGACTGCAGTGCCAAGCCCAAAGAGCCTTCCCCAGGGCAATGAGAATCCTGCAGATGGTTTAAAGCTTAGCTTTCTTGCAGTCACCCCTGCCCACTGCACAGTCCACTGAAGTCTCATAGGCCATGTTTTGATCACTGGGTGGTTGTGTGCAGTTGTTCACTCGTGAGGTGGTTGTTGCAGAGTGGATGAGATCAAAAGGTGGCAAAGGGGTGGAGGTGGGGTCGCTGCTTGCTGAATCAGCTATCTTAGCAATGTTTGGAGGCACACTTGCTTTTTCTCTTAGGCGGCAGGACAGGAGTGATTGACAATCCAACTCTTATTAGGGTTAAAGCTCAATACATTGTGCTTTAATGGAGAGTGCACTGGCTTCTGGGTAAGAGACCCATGTTCATGACACTGATGGAGTTTAGAACACACTCCCTAAATGTGGGCACCTCGGCATGTGATAAAATGCTGGGGACAGCATACCATGACATGGAAGGCATCGTCCTTTCTCACCTTCCTTGATAATGATCCTAGAACCTACAAAGGTTTTTCTGGCCTTTCTCCCAGGCATATTATGGGATAGATTGTCAATCTTTACTGGAAAGAAAGAAGCTGAAGACACAGGGGTCTCAACAGGACAGAGTTTCCCCTACACTATTATCTTTATGTCACAGCTCCTGTCCCATCCTGATCTCCACCATTGTCCCCTCTTCTTCACACCAACACAGTAGAGTAGGTTTTAGGGTCTGGAGAGATGATCCAGGGGTTAAGAGTATATTGTTGTTTTAGAGGATGGGAATTTGATTCCCAGCCCCCATGTCAGGTGGTTCACAACCAACCTGTAACTCCAGCTCCTCTGATCTCTGAATTCATGCACCCAGACAAACATAATTTCAAAAGAACAATACAAATAATTATTTAAACAACACAGGTTTCTCTACTCCAGTGGACTTTGAATTCTGAAGATTCTCAGGTCACATGAATTCATATTACATAAATTGGGATGCTTTCTCTTGTTACTATTTGTTAAAGGGGCTTCACTCATGAACCTAGTGTGAGGGAACACTTTACTTCTTACAACACCCCAGCAGGAGCAACGTTTTTCATTTTGCTCATCTCCCAGAGTCCTCTTACTGCAGAGTAAGGACGCCCGATTTAGTATAATGCTCTCTCATCCTGCCCAGTCACTTGTGTAGAAGGAAGCGGTTCTGAGAGTAGCACCTTTTGCTAGCTTGCCTGGGAACCCGCTAGAAATGCAAATTATTGGGCCCCACCCAAGACCCAGTGGAAACTGTGGGTGGAACCCAGGCTTCTAGCTTTAAGGAGTCTTCCAAGAGACTCTGGCTAATGTTAAAGTTTGATGAGTATATTTAAGGGGGTAAACTTTAATAAAAAATATTGCTGAACCAAACAAAATTAATCTCAGATCTCCTCTCCAAAGTTCCGAGGAATCACCAGGAGAGGGCGGCCGCGGACCTGCCTTTTGCCTTCCCAAACTGCAGAGTCCAATGTGATGGTAAACAGCAGCCACAGCAAGTTCTATCCATCGCCCAAGTAAATGACAAATATATAAAAAGAGACTTCAAAAGGCAGTGGTATCAAAGCAGCAGTTAAAGAGAAGGAGAAATCCAAAGTCACAGCTGCATAGACGGAGGCTGCTTCAGCATCTAGGATTCGGAAGCATTTAGGGATGAATTTTTCTTTTCTTTTTTCCCCCTAGTATTTCTCCGAGTCCTTTTCCTTTGATATACATGAGCCTCTCGACTTTCCTTTGTTCTTTTTCCACGCGTCAGGTTTTCATAAAGTTTTTCTAGTTGATGAGCTTCCCCCCTGAAAAGACGTTAGATCCGCAGCACCAGCAGCTGCGGATTTGGATCTGCAATGCTCTGCAGCCTTAACCGGATTCACCGCGGAGTGCAAGCACGGAAGGTCCCTCCACCCGCTTCTTCCACAGGACCTTCTGCACTGAAAACATTTTGATCTCTGGTGTGGCCAGTGTGCCCTGCTCCTTTCTCCTCTACGCTGGAGCTGTCATTGTTTCAGGCCCAGTTCCTGCACCAGGGGACTTTTTATGAGAGCCAAGTCACAGTGAGGCCATATCTTGATAAGTCATGATGGGGCAGCGGGTGCGAGGAAGACTGAAGTGGACCTCCCTGTTTTCTCTCTGCCTGGCTTATATATCCGGTCTTTATAAGGAGGCACACCAAAGTCAGGAAATAGGGGCCCGGGTAAGGGGTACAGATGTCATGAAGGTTTGCATTTGTCTTAACTGTCCCCGGAACAAAATGTGAAACTCCTCAAAAGGAGGAGCCTGCTGCACCAGGCGTCTTACAGTGCATGTTCACGAAATGCAGCTTAGGGAATCCTAAGCAATTATAACCCGCACACTTCAGGCCAACACAAGTTAAAAGATTCTCCCTTCTGAAAAGTGTAATTAAAACAACAACAGCAACAGCAGCGAGGCTTCATTTGTTTAAATTTGTTTAAAAAATTTTAATTAAGTTTTTTTGACAGGACATTTATATCATTTTCTCTAAGGTTCAGGGAACATCGAGGAAGAAGAAACAGAAAGCATTCAGGACAGGAAGGTGAGGGGAGGGGCTGGGAAACGCTATCTTCAGGGCACAGGAATGCCATTGCAAAGGTGTTATCACAGTAGAGGAGGCTGCAAGCACCGGATCTGCACAACACCGCTCTTATCGACAGCCAACCAAGGACAGGAACAGGTTCCTGGTGACCTGCTGTCTCTGCCAATTCCTAGCTACTGGTGGATTCTGGGGAAGGGATAGTCATTGTCTTCAGTTGTGTACCCAAGGTGAGCCAACTAGGCTTCAGGGAATAGTTCTGCAGACACACAGATAGTCCTGGTTAAAATCAGTGGCTCACAAAACAAAACAACATACCATGAGCTGGTAGGGGACTTGTAGGGGGGAGGGGAAGAGAAAAGATGAGAGAGGTTAAGAAAGGCTGGAGGGGATGCAAGCAGTCAAATGAACTGTATACGTGTATGAAACTGCCAGGAAACAGATTCAGTTAATAGAAAGGTGGGGAGGAAGAAGAGAATGGGAGGAATATTTGCGAGTGGAAGGAGATTAACCAAAGAGTGCTGGGGTTTTTTCGTGGAGGGGTTGTAGTGGTAGAGATCTGAATATCTATACAACCCAGATAGGGAATGAAAAGCAAATCAAAATTTGGTGAACCAATCTTTTTTTTTAAATTGGCATTACTTACAGGAGTATGGTGAGCAGTTACTTACAGAAAGAAATCACTCAAAGAAAGCTGCATCACTAAAGCCCATCTCAGCATGGGAGCCAGCTCTGGAGAGCTGAGGACACTGCATGTGGCTCAACAGGTGAGGGAGTCTTCTTTTCAGGTGGCTCAGGTGATCTGAGCCTCTTCCAGGAAGCTCAGCTGGATTTTATTTTTTCTAGTTTGGCTGATCTCTGAGTCTGCAGGTCCTATATCTGGTTTTTCCAGGCAACTGGGCTTATCTGAGAGTGACTTTCAGTGTGTGTGTGTGTGTGTGTGTGTGTATTTGGGGTGGGAGGGCCCTAAGGGAGAGCCCTAGTGAATCTGGTCAGTCTCAGGAACTTCCTAAAGGTATTTTGAGTTTCTCACTTCCTGTCTTAATGACCTTCCATGCAGGATGGAATGGGTCAATCTAGAGGACATTTATAAGCAACAAAGAGGAAGGGGGAAGATGAGAGAGGTCAATGGGGATGAAAAAATATGCATATACACAAACATATACACAAATATACACACATTATGTGAAAATATCACAATGAAAACCACTTCTTTGTGTGCTAATAAAAATCAATCAAAAAACTTAAAAAATGATTATATATATATAATTGGGTGTTTTTTCTTTTTCAAGACTTCGTTTAATTATGTAGCCTGGCTTGGAATTGCCTTTTAGACCAGGCTGGCCTTACACTTCCTGGGTACTTGCTTTTTCATTCATTTTTAACATTAGCATATAAAGTAATGTGTTTCATTATCATTTTCAATTTAGACTTTCAGAGCATTTCCTGCTCTGGGGATGCCACAGTGGGAAAGGGTTTTGCCTGTCGACATAAGAAGAATAAGAAGACATATTTTATAGCTTAAAGGCTGTATGAGATTCCTTCTCAATTTATAGTGAGATCTTCACACATCTATTCTAAATGCAAGTTCAAATGGAAATGCTCCACGGCTCCCAGCCAGTGGAGGAAAGAGGAAAAGGAAGAATATAATAATTTAAGCCCAGTTCTATGCCGACAGATTCCAGGCAATAAGCACACAGGCAGCTTTACCTCTCAGGGCCAGGCTGCTTCCAGGTTGTAGGGGTGGATATTAAAATGAGAGTTTTCAAGTGCTGAGTGGTTATTTTGACTTTGGAATAAGAAGGCAGGAAATATTGACAGCACACTCAAGGAGGCTCCCTCCATAGCTGTCCTGATTTGTCAGTATGAGACAATCAGGCTCTTTCTTTTCGGTGGTTTGTCTACTGCTATGCTTTGTTTCATTTCTGCTGTTCCCATGCAATGGTCTAAAATTCTGAGACTGTCTGCAGGCAAGATGAAGATTCAGGGAAAATTGTGAGGGGGGATAAGAAAAGAGAGAGGGGAGCCCCTTATGGAGGCATTTGGTTGAAGCCTTCCACCAGGATCTGAGCAAGAATTCCAGCCTAAGACTGTTCGCTGTTCCCAGGCACACAGCTGAAAACTAGTAATCACACAAGAAACCCATCTACTTACAGGGAAAGGACCTGTGGTAACCTTCTTGGGCAACCTTATTTGTTTCTGGTTTCATCAGATTATATTTCCTTTGGAAGTACCTTTGTAGCTTCCTCTTGTATCAATCACTCTTACCAAAGGAAGAAGGGTGGGGATATCTTAGCACCTATATGAAATGTAACTTAGAGCCACCAACATGGTCTACACAGCTAATGCTAAGGGAACTAATGGCCTCCTCTTCCTTGAGGAGCCCATTCCTATACTTGGTATTGCTTACTTCACTCTATGCTCCCTTGGGAAGCATGTAAATCCACTTTGTACGTCAAACTTTATTCCAAGAGCCCCTCTTTTGTTGAATCCTCCTGTATAGCCCTGAATTAAAATATCTCTAATAAAATCCTTAACTTATTTCATAACCTGATTAGCCCTGAAATTATTTTCATCCTTACACCTATAAAACCAGGTCTGGCTTGAGTTGAGATCCTCAAGATATAGGAGAACTTTTCAGTCTGCTGATGGGAGCAGTGTGGAGAAATGTGTCTCCCTCCCCCCCCCCCCACTGTTGTCTCTTTCTTTCTTAAGTATCAGAGAATTATATCATTTTACTTTCATTTTGCCAGAGCTTCTGGAAACACCACGGCCAGCAGCATCCATCTCTGAGAGGCAAGAAGGCAGTTCAGGACTGCCTTCTTTGACAGGACTCAGTAGTCTGTGCTGGTCAAACTTCAGGTGTCTGACCTCAAGTGATTTATTTTAGGCATGTATTAGTACCCCACACTTTGGAAAAAAGTTTCCAGGTGATAATTAACTCAATCACATTTACATAACAAAGCATTAAATGTGACTACATTGAAACTCTTTGTAAAGTACAAGTGACATTGTCTATAAAAATAGGTTGTGCAGATTAACTGAGAGAACGTGCTCAAGTTAGGAGGCTGAGGGGAGGGTAGTGCCGTAGATTAACTGAGACAAACAAGGTCAAGATAAGGGTCTAGGAAAAAGGATTCGGTGTGACCTGGTCTCAACTGAAGCTAGACTTGGTTTTGTAGCTTTGAGGATGAAAATAATTTCAGGGCTAGTCAGGTTATGAAATAAGTTGAGGTAGTACAAAGGTCACCAGGATATCAACCATGAGTGCTTCCAGCCTTCTAGGTGGGAAAGAGCTTGTACATTTCTTTCTCTGAAGAGATATCCTGTGTGTTTAATATTTCTGGTTCCCCAAGTGCTTTTAAGTGAGCATAAGGATCTATATATCTCAAACACCATTTCACTCTCACTTTTAAGTGTTGAGGGTCAAGATATTTTCCTTCCATTTCAAGCCAATGAAATAACATCTTTCATAGTATGTACAAAATTGAGTACTGGCTAGCTGTAGCTAAGGGAGGAGGGCACTTTCAGGATAGAACTTCTACAATTGTATGTGCCTGTTGAGGGAACTATTTAAAATGTTGTCATGTACCTATTAACATCATGTTTCTGTTGTTTTGGTTAAGATTCTTTGTAGAATATTGCATTGAAGTGTTGGGAATGTGGCTTGGTTGGTAGGCTTCTTGCCTAAGAAGCAGGAAGCCCTAGATCTATAACCCTTGTGTGGTGGCACACATCGGTAATCCCACAATCCAGAAAGTAGACTTAGGAATATCAGAAGCTAAAGAGCATCCTTGACTGTACAAGGAGTTCAGCTTGGGCCAAAGACACTGTCAACGGAAGGAAAAGAAAGAAAGGAAGAAAAGAAGGAAGGAAGGGAAGAAGGAAAGAAGAAAAGAAGGAAGACAGGAATAAAAACCTCAAGATGAACCAGCCAGGGTTTAGAGAAAACCCATTCATTCTTTGCTCATTATCACAATAAATTCTCTTTGGAGAAGTGCTCCTGTCTGTTATTTTTCCTTTCAGACATGAGCCTTAATTTACTCACAGCTTCAGAGGGGCTCATTCTCTAACAGCAGGGAAGGCATAGTGGAGTTCATGGTAGCCTTGTTCACATCATGGTGGACTGGGAAGTAGACAGTATATGGAACTGGGGGCTAGACTATCGACTTTCAAAGGCTCTCCTCTAGTGAGCTACTTCTACCAGCCTGGCTCTACGTCTTTAAAGGGCCACAGACTGTCAAAGCAGTGCCTCTAGCTGCAGTAGTAGTGTTAAAAATATGAGCTCGGGGCAGACATTTCAGACTCACACAAAGACGATGCTTACCCTGACATGTGCTTTCCTCTATGAATATGCATAGCCTTGCTAATAAAATTTGAAGTCAGTAAAGAACTATAGTGCGTCTTACTTGTTGTAAGTCTCTTCCTACTCTTTTATCTTCAGGCTATGCTTGTTGGCTTGGATGCTCTGTGATGCAATCCCAATTGTATTGTTACAGTAGAAGCAGGCTAAGAAATACTTGATGAAAATACAAGCCCGAAGCTCGTGATACTTCTGCTGTGTCTGTGGCTTTAGCTTTTCACTGCTTGTCTTTCTGACTAGAAGTGAGATCTGCCCCTCACTAATCTCTCAGTCATTGAATGTCCTCTTGGTAATTAGGACACCATGCTGTTTGCTCATGATGTTGCTCCTACAGGCTTGTGCCACACCTTCTAACTGTCATAATCCCTATAGGACACTCTTTCTATTCTGGACTTCTTTCCCTGCTTGACATCTTATAGACTGGATGTCAAGGATCTTCATGCTCATGTCTCACAGTGGCTTCCTGGTCCTGACAAGGAAAGCCAGAAGAAACTGCTTCCTGTGAAAGAGCAGGCACAAGGAATGGTTACTTGGCATGCCAGTATGATGCATCAACTTGACTAGGTGCCCTAAAATCTGAGAATCATTATTTCCGGTTGTGCTAGGGAGGTGTTTCCAGAAGAAACTGGTATTCAGCTCACAGAGTGAGGAAAAGCATCCCTTTCTATGGAGGTAGGCATTGTTTAATCCTGCCAGGGTCTGAATACAACAAAAAGCCACAGGGAATGTGGCTTGGCTATCACATTCAGTTTTTCTTGTCCTTTGATATCAAAATTTCTAAACTTGGACCTATGCCCTTGAATTGGAAGCAGCCCACGATCTTCCCTAGTTCCAGCTTACTGTGAGTCTCCTTGGCATCTATAATGCTGTGAGCATATTCTTCATAAGAGCTTCTCTGAGCATGCTTCTGACACTCTGGAGAAATTTAATTTAAGATACTTGGGCTTAGACAATCTAGTCTTTCCAGTTGTCTCACCCAGATACTTCTACTTTGGTAATTGTTTCAAGTGTCTTAGGCCTTGAGATAAAAACACATGAATGAGTGTAGAATTTCAGGGGCTTACACTTTAGTTTGTGCTAGGATTCAGCACCATGTACTGTTCCTTCAGGTCAGTCAAGACCCTGAAACTTCCTCTTGGACCAAACCTTTAGCTCATACTCAAAATCTTGTGGAGAACTAAAGATTAGTGGGAGCTTCATGCTGAAAGTTGGTGTCAGTATGCAGTCAGCCTCTGGTGCTTTCCTTTTCTCTCATAAGGATATAAAGTCTCGCTGGGAGGACTGGATTCGTCCTTCACTCTGGGTCATACCCTCTGTCTTGGTGATTGAGTCCTTTGTTCCCTGTAGAGCCTGGGTCCTTCAGGAATTTCCTGATAACCTCTTCTTACCTGTCTCATAGTTATC